ACGAAGAGGAGCCAATTGATAGATCAAACTCTTGCTGAAACCAGTCGGGAGAAGAGCAAAAACATCTTTTCCTCTGAGAAAAGCCTCCAGAGCAGTGTTTTGCTCTTCTTTCAGTGAAGAAATACTCTGTAATTCCCATAAAACTTGCTCGATAGCCACGCTAACGCTAGTTTCATCGGCTGAAGCCGCCATGTTCTTTAGACTGAACTGTGGCGCTTCTCGTTGCGTCACACCTCAACCCGCCTCAAAGCCAACGCTGATTGGACGTTCGTTTGGTGAACGGCTCCAAACTTTCTTTAACGGAGAGTCTCCAGACTGATCTGCGAGTGAAACCTTGAAAGCTCGCGAGATCAGGATGGTCTCATGAGGCTAGGTGACTGCATTCAACTGTAAATCCTTTTAAAGAGAAGATCATCCTTTCTATAATGATCACAAATGTCAGATATTCTGTAATAGAAGTCAAAGTGATTTTCCTGTGAATATGAGCTGTTTGTTCAACTAAAAGTCAGGCTAAGTTAAAAAGAAACAGGAAGTAAAGTTTAACTAAACTTTCCTCAAACTCTAAACACATTTTTCTCTGGGTTTAATGAAAAAAGCTGCAGTGCTCAGCATCGCCTGATATGCCTTCTGGAAGCTCAGTCACACCTAAAACCACAGAAAACATTGAAAAGAAAATGTTTGTAGTTTTGATATTAAACGTTTGTAGAACCAAGTTGCCTCTGTCTCTTTTACTTCTTTATATCTATGTTATCGATCTTGTTTTGTGATTCTATTACTTTCATTTCTGCACCATTAAAAGATACTCAGATTAAATCCATTAAAACACTCCCTGCATTGTTCAGAATGTGAGAAGTGAGTCATTTTCTGTTTGGAATTGAACCGATTGAATGTTTGTAGATTCTGCGAACCAAAGAGAAGGTGGTGCTTCTCTCATTCCTGGAAGTTCTGCTTTTAGGTGCATAAGGGATCAGACACCTGCTCCTCTGTTTCAGCAGCAGCTCCCTCCATCCGTCCAATATGTCCGCCAGAGCGTCAGCGTGCATCTGGAGCAGAAATCTGTTAACAGCTCCCAGCATTACATTTGAGAGATTAAAACAGCAGAGCTCTCACATTGAGATTCCACAAAAAAACAACCAAACTACAAATGAAATGAATACAATGAATGGCTTTTATGTTGGGAATACAACTCTGAGAAAGCAATTTAGCATATTGGACCCTCCGTGCTACTAATGTAATGCTATGAATGTTGTTGATGGCAGAGGATGTCACACAGAGCCATGTAAGGCGAGGATGAGCTGCAGGGTAATGCACAATAACTCTGCGCATTAACCTTTAGCCTCCTCCTTCTCATTTTAATCCAGCAAATTCCATTATTGTCCCTGGCATGTCCATTTTCCTCCACAGGAATCCTACTGAGCCGGCAGCCAGTGGAGCTGCTAGAACCAACCTGTATCTCTGGTGTTAATCTTCCATCACTGGGCCTCTTTGAATAAAAACAAATCCGTCAGTTTGGAAAGGCTACTAATTGCACAAAAAGAGTGATCATCCCCCTGGATGGCTCTACAGATTTAAAACAAACAGATTACTGCACCACTAAAGTGATAATGCAGGTTTCACTGCCATTTAGCCTAGAAAAGAACAACCAAACTGGGACATTCTGCACTTAGAACAATGCGGTATTACACACATCAAAGATCCACACAGAGCACTGACCTAATACACTAGCATGTCCTATGAATGCAGAAAGCCTAATCTGGACCTGCATGGCATGCACTCTTCCATTAAAGTGCTTATTTTACCATTTAGTGCTTGTTTTATTCCTTTCGACGAAGAAAAAGTAACAATCTGCTCTAATGATAAAGCCATAAATGTTCATCCCTAAATGTCCTCCCATGTCTGCGTAGAAGCACATCTGTCTGCTCACTGAGGGACATTTAACCACAATTCTCACTCTGTAAGTCATTTGTCAAGAAACGCATCTGATAAAACTTTTCTTTCAAGATAACTTTCAGTTTCTCCAAGTCCGAGTCCGTGGTTCCTGACAGAAAAAAGTTTGCATGGTCTTTTCAGGACGGAGGGGAGTTACTGCCTCCCAGTGGAGCGGTTCCAGTATCTTGGGGTCCTGGTCATGAATGAGGGGTGAATAGAGCAGCAGATTGACAGAGGAGCCAGCTGAGGTGGCTTAGACGTCTGCCCGAGGCGCTGGGCTGGAGAGGAAGCAGCTCCAGGCACCAGGGTTCTGCTCAGAACACACTGCAGGGACTATGTCTCTGTTTGGACCCTGGAGCGCCAGCAGAGCTGGAGGATGCGCCTAGAAACAGGGTGGTCAGCGAGTCATAGACCTGTCTCTCCCGGGTCACAGACCTGTCTCTCCCGGGTCATTGACCTGTCTCTCCCGGGTCATTGACCGGTCTCTCCCGGGCCATAGACCCATAGACCTGTCTCTCCCGGGTCACAGACCTGTCTCTCCCGGGTCATTGACCGGTCTCTCCCGGGCCATAGACCTGTCCCTCCCGGGCCATAGACCCATAGACCTCTCCCTCCCGGGCCGTAGACCTGTCCCTCCCGGGCCATAGACCGGTCTCTCCCGGGCCATAGACCTGTCTCTCCCGGGTCATTGACCGGTCTCTCCCGGGTCACAGACCTGTCTCTCCCGGGTCACAGACCTGTCTCTCCCGGGCCATAGACCTTTCTCTCCCGGGCCATAGACCTTTCTCTCCCGGGCCATAGACCGGTCTCTCCCGGGTCACTGACCTGTCTCTCCCGGGTCATTGACCTGTCTCTCCGGGGCCATAGACATGTCTCTCCTGGGTCATTGACCGGTCTCTCCCGGGTCATTGACCGGTCTCTCCCGGGTCACTGACCTGTCTCTCCCGGGTCATTGACCGGTCTCTCCCGGGCCATAGACCGGTCTCTCCCGGGTCACTGACCTGTCTCTCCCGGGTCATTGACCTGTCTCTCCCGGGTCATAGACCTGTCTCTCCTGGGCCATAGACATGTCTCTCCGGGGCCATAGACCGGTCTCTCCCGGGCCATAGACCGGTCTCTCCCGGGTCATTGACCGGTCTCTCCCGGGCCATAGACCTTTCTCTCCCGGGCCATAGACCTGTCTCTCCCGGGCCATAGACATGTCTCTCCCGGGTCATTGACCTGTCTCTCCCGGGCCATAGACCGGTCTCTCCCGGGTCATTGACCGGTCTCTCCCGGGCCATAGACATGTCTCTCCCGGGCCATAGACGTTTCTCTCCCGGGCCATAGACCGGTCTCTCCCAGGTCATTGACCGGTCTCTCCCGGGTCATTGACCTGTCTCTCCCGGGTCATTGACCGGTCTCTCCCGGGTCATTGACCGGTCTCTCCCGGGTCATTGACCTGTCTCTCCCGGGTCATTGACCTGTCTCTCCCGGGTCACAGACCGGTCTCTCCCGGGTCATTGACCGGTCTCTCCCGGGTCATTGACCTGTCTCTCCCGGGTCATTGACCTGTCTCTCCCGGGTCATTGACCGGTCTCTCCCGGGTCACAGACCTGTCTCTCCCGGGTCATTGACCTGTCCCTCCCGGGCCATAGACCGGTCTCTCCCGGGCCATAGACCTGTCTCTACCGGGCCATAGACCGGTCTCTCCCGGGTCACAGACCTGTCTCTCCCGGGTCATAGACCTTTCTCTCCCGGGCCATAGACCTTTCTCTCCCGGGCCATAGACCTTTCTCTCCCGGGTCACTGACCTGTCTCTCCCGGGTCATTGACTGGTCTCTCCCGGGCCATAGACATGTCTCTCCCGGGCCATAGACATGTCTCTCCCGGGTCATGGACCGGTCTCTCCCGGGTCACAGACCTGTCTCTCCCGGGCCATAGACCGGTCTCTCCCGGGTCACAGACCTGTCTCTCCCGGGTCACGGACCGGTCTCTCCCGGGTCACAGACCGGTCTCTCCCGGGTCACAGACCTGTCTCTCCCGGGTCACAGACCTGTCTCTCCCGGGTCACAGACCTGTCTCTCCCGGGTCATTGACCGGTCTCTCCCGGGTCACAGACCTGTCTCTCCGGGGTCATTGACCGGTCTCTCCGGGTCACAGACCTGTCTCTCCTGGGCCATAGACCTGTCTCTCCCGGGTCACTGACCGGTCTCTCCCGGGTCACTGACCGGTCTCTCCCGGGTCACAGACCTGTCTCTCCTGGGTCATAGACCGGTCTCTCCCGGGTCACAGACCTGTCTCTCCTGGGCCATAGACCTGTCTCTCCCGGGTCATTGACTGGTCTTCTCAGATTACCGGATTGTTATTTGAAACTAAAGGTAAAATTTAGCCCAGTAAACTAGCCCCACCCGCCAGCGGCCAAAATAATTTTTGCCTGCAGTGGTCTAGCCTCAATCAATGCCCCAGGCCCTAGAACTGGCCGGCCAATCACAACGCAATGTCTGGATGCAAAGTGGGCGGGGTTTTGAGGCCGGGACGACAAAGCTGCACAACGCTGGAGAAAACACAACGAGGAAGATGGTAACTAATATTGAACAGTTCTGGTTTGACTCAGCTTTGGAATCAGTTCTGGAAGGATCAGACTTTGGGTTTCCGTTGAAACGTGAGCAGGAAGAGGCTCTACGCTCATTTATTTTTAAGAAGGAGGTATTCGCTGTTTTACCGACAGGCTGTTTATTTACACTCCCCCACCAGCTTCCTGTGGCGCTTCCTACGTCACAGTCAGTTGCTCTCATTGGTCAGAGCGTTGGCCAATAGGCACAGACATGGTTTGAAAGACAACGGGTTGCTCTCATCAACAATCTTTCGATGTCTCATTCATCGGGGTTAGACTAGATTACACATTTAATCTCACATTTAGTCTGGTCTATGAGGCTAGCTAAAATGCATCATGTAAAGTGAGAGTCGGTTTCAGTCAGACTCAGACATTAACTAGCAGTTGACAGTACAATGAGCTTTAACTCCAGTGACACGGATCATTAGTTCATTAGAGAAAAGTGTTTTCTGTGATGTCGTGATTCAGGAAATAATCCTGCATCTATTTTTCTCAGTTGGCAGGAGAAGCCCAGGAGCTGTTCTCTGTGCGTCACGGACCTGTCCGAGCTGCTCGCATTCTTCCTGCTCCTCATATCAGTGAGTACCACACCAGTCAGAGAGCAGAAAGTCGTCTTACGACGTTGGTCTTTGTGTAACGACATTAAATTCTCCTAAAGACGTGTTAATGAAAGGCAGCAGGATTGCATCTACATGGTTCTGGCTCTATGCTGAACTCCCGTAGCACTGCAGCCTGTTTTAGAAGCTGAAAGAACCACATTTCCTCTCTGCAGGTGTCAGACAGTGATGTGAAGGCTGGTTTGTGGTCTTTCAGTTTTGTCAGAATAACAGCTTTTTGTTCTCAATCCGTGTTCCGGTCTTTTGGCAAATTTCAACGGCACACAATGGCAGCAGTTGAAGAGCGCTGGAAGTGGATGAAAGCAGAGGCTGGTAATAAGAAGCAGCAGATAGCTGCACACATGAGGGGAGTAATTCTCTCAGCAGAAAATAAATATGAACGGGGAAGGATACTGATTGCAATCTGTGGAGTGCAAACAGTGTTGCTCTGTGGTGGGCCGTTAAAAGGCTTATTGTCCATCTCCAGACTCTGAGTGTGGGTGGAATTAAAGAGCTCCAAAATAGGTGTTGATTATAAGAAGCACGGTCTCCTTTCCAAGCAGATAACGGGAAGTCCATGTTTCCAGAGAGAAAACTAGATTCTAATTCATCCTGATGGAGGGCGGGGGGGGTGACCATCCAGAAAATAATTAACATTTATTTGAGTGAAAGTTCTCATCCTTTGTGCTTTTTCTGCTGCCTCTTTTGTTCTCAGCAGAAGAAACTTCACTTTCCAAGTCAGAGTCTCCCTGTTCCTCAGATGTTTCATTTTTACCAAGGAGGCTTATTTTAGTAACAATGTCAAATTCGCTAAGTCCCAGAGAAGCAATATTTATGTTAGAGCTCAGGATGACGGCTGAGAAAGATGCCTGATGACAAACATGAAAGGAGAAAGGACCCTTCTGGGAGCGCTAGGGGCCGGTTGGGCAGCCACTCCTGCTCCAGCGCCATACCGCAGGAACTCAGGCTGATTACTGCTGGGCCTCAAATTACAGCCTTCTGAAAGGGGACATCCTCACCAATCTGAGCGCCCCAATCCCCTCATCTCCTGCTGGACTTCAATGTGGGACAATTAAGACAAACATGGGATCACTCCATGTTTTCCCTGCCTTTCTCAAAGAGACCTTCTCTGGTTTAACATGCTGTAATTCAAACCCCCAAATAAAAAGGGTCGGGGTCTTTCTGTCCACATTTCCATCATTTTAGCTCATTTTTAATTAGAACAAAAGCAAAGTTTCAGCAGATCTCTAATCTGGTTTTTAGACTATTAGCTTGTTAGACTTGCCTGTTGATCAGGAACACCCAGGGTCTGAAATATGGCTGATTGTCTGCTCCTCTAAAGCACGGACTCGTCTTCCTCCTCAGGTCCTCTGAAAACCGATAGCTTTGCTGAGAAGAGGCCGTTGCTGGGGGTCTGCAAGAGCGCAGGGTCTTCAGGGTGAGTTCATCCGCCTCACTCCTCTCTGTGTTTCATGGCCTTTAATAAAAGCAACATGTCTGAGTTTATAGTTTTATCCACCTGCACCACCCTGATGCTGAAGCAACACATACTGGATAGATGCTGACAGCTGTTTGTTATGCATCTACAGCTGATGGGGTGTACTTACTTTTTCACAGCTTTTACATTTTGCTTCCATCTTTGTTCTATAATGCGGACCTAGTGGGACGCATGGGACTGAAAAGCTAGTGATGTTTTCCTGCTGATTTCATTCCAGCTAAAGTCTGATGAACAGACTGTGGCTGAAAGCAGCTGAAGCAGGGGAACCAGGGAACTGGTGAAGTTCCGCCATTAAAAACACCGATCGATACGTTAAAACCCCAAAACTTAAGAAGGATGCTCCTTCTTTAAACCCCAGCTGAACATTGTAGTCATGCAGTCTGGGCGCAGGTTCCTGCTCTGTTCTGGTTCTTAGCCAGAGGGATGTTTGTTCCTGTCCGGGTCCAGCAGGTTCTGCTGCGCTCTGACTGCCTGTCATCAGAATCACTGACTCCCATCAGCTTTCTTCCTGCTGGGAATGTTGGTTCAACTGGGATGCAAGGTTCCTCTGAGTGTCCTCACCTGGACCATTCCGCCCGTCTGTTGAACCGAATCCTGAAACTCTCACTGAAAATGCTAACTCTAACATGCCACCTGATTATGCCTTGTTTGACCTGACTGGACCCGGTTTGACCTGACTGGACCCGGTTTGACCTGACTGGACCCGGTTTGACCCGATTGGACCCGGTTTGACCCGACTGGACCCGGTTTGACCTGACTGGACCCGGTTTGACCCGATTGGACCCGGTTTGACCCGACTGGACCCGGTTTGACCTGACTGGACCCGGTTTGACCTTATTGGACCCGGTTTGACCCGATTGGACCCGGTTTGACTCGATTGGACCCAGTTTGACCTGACTGGATCCGGTTTGACCTGACTGGACCCGGTTCGACCCGACTGGACCCGGTTTGACCCGATTGGACCTGGTTTGACCCGATTGGACCCGGTTTGACCTTATTGGACCCAGTTTGACCCGATTGGACCCGATTGGACCTGGTTTGACCTGATTGGACCCGGTTTGACCTTATTGGACCCAGTTTGACCCGATTGGACCTGGTTTGACCCGATTGGACCTGTTTTGACCTGATTGGATCCGGTTTGACCTGACTGGACCCGGTTTGACCCGAATGGACCCGGTTTGACCTGACTGGACCCTGTTTAACCCGAATGGACCCGGTTTGACCTGACTGGACCCGGTTTGACCTGACTGGACCCGGTTTCACCTGATTGGACCCAGTTTGACCTGACTGGACCCGGTTTGACCCGATTGGACCCGGTTTGACCCGACTGGACCCGGTTTGACCTGACTGGACCCGGTTTGACCCGGTTTGACCCGATTGGACCCGGTTTGACCCGACTGGACCCGGTTTGACCTGACTGGACCCGGTTTGACCCGATTGGACCCGGTTTGACCCGACTGGACCCGGTTTGACCTGACTGGACCCGGTTTGACCTTATTGGACCCGGTTTGACCCGATTGGACCCGGTTTGACTCGATTGGACCCGGTTTGACCTGACTGGATCCGGTTTGACCTGACTGGACCCGGTTCGACCCGACTGGACCCGGTTTGACCCGATTGGACCTGGTTTGACCCGATTGGACCCGGTTTGACCTTATTGGACCCAGTTTGACCCGATTGGACCCGATTGGACCTGGTTTGACCTGATTGGACCCGGTTTGACCTTATTGGACCCAGTTTGACCCGATTGGACCTGGTTTGACCTGATTGGATCCGGTTTGACCTGACTGGACCCGGTTTGACCCGAATGGACCCGGTTTGACCTGACTGGACCCGGTTTAACCCGAATGGACCCGGTTTGACCTGACTGGACCCGGTTTGACCTGACTGGACCCGGTTTCACCTGATTGGACCCAGTTTGACCTGACTGGACCCAGTTTGACCCGATTGGACCCGGTTTGACCCGACTGGACCCGGTTTGACCTGACTGGACCCGGTTTGACCCGATTGGACCCGGTTTGACCCGACTGGACCCGGTTTGACCTGACTGGACCCGGTTTGACCTTATTGGACCCGGTTTGACCCGATTGGACCCGGTTTGACTCGATTGGACCCGGTTTGACCTGACTGGATCCGGTTTGACCTGACTGGACCCGGTTTGACCCGACTGGACCCGGTTTGACCCGATTGGACCTGGTTGGACCCGATTGGACCCGGTTTGACCTTATTGGACCCAGTTTGACCCGATTGGACCCGATTGGACCTGGTTTGACCTGATTGGACCCGGTTTGACCTTATTGGACCCAGTTTGACCCGATTGCACCCGGTTTGACCCGATTGGACCTGGTTTGACCCGATTGGACCTGGTTTGACCTGATTGGATCCGGTTTGACCTGACTGGACCCGGTTTGACCCGAATGGACCCGGTTTGACCTGACTGGACCCAGTTTGACCCGAATGGACCCGGTTTGACCTGACTGGACCCGGTTTGACCCGATTGGACCTGGTTTGACCTGACTGGACCCAGTTTGACCTGACTGGACCCGGTTTGACCTTATTGGACCCAGTTTGACCTGACTGGACCGGGTTTGACCTTATTGGACCCGGCTTGACCTGACTGGACCCGGTTTGACCTTATTGGACCCAGTTTGACCTGACTGGACCCGGTTTGACCTGACTGGACCCAGTTTGACCTGACTGGACCCGGTTTGACCTTATTGGACCTGGTTTGACCTGATTGGACCCGGTTTGACCTTATTGGACCCGGCTTGACCTGACTGGACCCGGTTTGACCTTATTGGACCCGGTTTGACCTGACTGGACCCGGTTTGACACGATTGGACCCGGTTTGACCTGACTGGACCAGGTTTGACCCGATTGGACCTGGTTTGACCTGATTGGACCCGGTTTGACCTGACTGGACCCAGTTTGACCTGACTGGACCCGGTTTGACCTTATTGGACCCGGCTTGACCTGACTGGACCCGGTTTGACCTTATTGGACCCGGCTTGACCTGACTGGACCCGGTTTGACCTTATTGGACCCAGTTTGACCTGACTGGACCCGGTTTGACCTGACTGGACCCAGTTTGACCTGACTGGACCCAGTTTGACCTTATTGGACCCGGCTTGACCTGACTGGACCCGGTTTGACCTTATTGGACCCGGTTTGACCTGACTGGACCCGGTTTGACCTTATTGGACCCGGTTTGACCTGACTGGACCCGGTTTGACCTGACTGGACCCAGTTTGACCTGACTGGACCCGGTTTGACCTTATTGGACCCGGTTTGACCTGACTGGACCCGGTTTGACCTTATTGGACCCGGCTTGACCTGACTGGACCCGGTTTGACCTTATTGGACCCGGTTTGACCTGACTGGACCCGGTTTGACCTTATTGGACCCGGTTTGATCTGACTGGACCCTGTTTGACCTGACTGGACCCGGTTTGACTTTATTGGACCCGGTTTGACCTGACTGGACCCGGTTTGACCTTATTGGACCCGGCTTGACCTGACTGGATCCGGTTTGACCTGACTGGACCCAGTTTGACCTGACTGGACTCGGTTTGACCTTATTGGACCCTGTTTGACCTGACTGGACCCGGTTTGACCTTATTGGACCCAGTTTGACCTGACTGGACCCGGTTTGACCTTATTGGACCCGGTTTGACCTGACTGGACCCGGTTTGACCTTATTGGACCCGGCTTGACCTGACTGGACCCGGTTTGACCTTATTGGACCCGGTTTGACCTGACTGGACCCTGTTTGACCTGACTGGACCCCGTTTGACTTTATTGGACCCGGTTTGACCTGACTGGACCCGGTTTGACCTTATTGGACCCGGCTTGACCTGACTGGACCCGGTTTGACCTGACTGGACCCAGTTTGACCTGACTGGACTCGGTTTGACCTTTTTGGACCCTGTTTGACCTGACTGGACCCGGTTTGACACGATTGGACCCGGTTTGACCTGACTGGACCCGGTTTGACCTTATTGGACCCGGCTTGACCTGACTGGACCCGGTTTTGACCTTATTGGACCCGGTTTGACCTGACTGGACCCGGTTTGACACGATTGGACCCGGTTTGACCTGACTGGACCCGGTTTGACCCGATTGGACCTGGTTTGACCTGATTGGACCCGGTTTGACCTGACTGGACCCAGTTTGACCCGAATGGACCCGGTTTGACCTGACTGGACCCTGTTTAACCCGAATGGACCCGGTTTGACCTGACTGGACCCGGTTTGACCTGACTGGACCCGGTTTCACCTGATTGGACCCAGTTTGACCTGACTGGACCCGGTTTGACCCGATTGGACCCGGTTTGACCCGACTGGACCCGGTTTGACCTGACTGGACCCGGTTTGACCCGGTTTGACCCGATTGGACCCGGTTTGACCCGACTGGACCCGGTTTGACCTGACTGGACCCGGTTTGACCCGATTGGACCCGGTTTGACCCGACTGGACCCGGTTTGACCTGACTGGACCCGGTTTGACCTTATTGGACCCGGTTTGACCCGATTGGACCCGGTTTGACTCGATTGGACCCGGTTTGACCTGACTGGATCCGGTTTGACCTGACTGGACCCGGTTCGACCCGACTGGACCCGGTTTGACCCGATTGGACCTGGTTTGACCCGATTGGACCCGGTTTGACCTTATTGGACCCAGTTTGACCCGATTGGACCCGATTGGACCTGGTTTGACCTGATTGGACCCGGTTTGACCTTATTGGACCCAGTTTGACCCGATTGGACCTGGTTTGACCTGATTGGATCCGGTTTGACCTGACTGGACCCGGTTTGACCCGAATGGACCCGGTTTGACCTGACTGGACCCGGTTTAACCCGAATGGACCCGGTTTGACCTGACTGGACCCGGTTTGACCTGACTGGACCCGGTTTCACCTGATTGGACCCAGTTTGACCTGACT